CTCATGTCCAACAAACTCCCCTCCATTATCACTTCTAATACATTTTACTTTGCCGAAAGGTGCAATATCAGCCAGAAATTGTTTTGTGGCTTTGATAGTGTCAGATTTGTATTTCAAAAAATATATCATGATCGAGTGTAATCGACAATAAATGACAGGGCATACTTGAAACCGTCTTTACCTGCCTGCTTATACCACGTGGTTTCTTGTTCGTGTAAAGATTCGTCTGACTTGTCATATTACGTGTTTTATTAATCAATGAATAATCCACTTAGATGAAGCAAGAAAGGGAAGAGAAATAATTTCAACTCGAAATTGGAGACAACAACTTGTAAATCATCATGAAACACAGTGACGTAGCCAGCCTGAATTTATACCACTGCTTTACAAATATTTTTATGTTGACCTGTCATGAGAGCAATAGATTTCTAAAGAAATGAACAATGATAATCTTTAGGAACTTACTGTAGCAGGAGTAAGTCTGCAGGCTGGCTAGGTTACTGATGACATTTCATAAACTTTCCTTCCTTCTTATCGTTGGTTTACTTCTTTTGAAGAGACTAGTGGAACTTTCGATCTTTCCAATAACTGTGTGGTATCGTTAAGTATTATTTCCATTAAAGACATCTCTTACGTCATTACAGTGTTCTGAATGGAGAATTCAAGCATTGAAACACATGGCATTGATGAATATGGAAGTATTAAACTCCTCTAGATATGTCGCTTCACTGAAAGAAAACATGGAAGGATTTCTTCAAGAGTTTCCCATGTGGTCGAAGGAAAGATTAAATAACTTATATGAACTTTCTGGTAAATTGAAGAACGAAGATCTACAAAATCAGGCCGTGAAATCTGTTGCGGAGTACAAGGAAGTCGAGGAAATATTTTTTAACGTCAGGAAACATTACAGAGGGCGGTCGTACGCGTACAGGTATGTTTATGGAGATCTTTTAACATAGCAAGTATGATGGTGTTAGTGATTTTCAACTGCCGTCAATCGATATTTTTGTCACCACTTTATATACTCCTATGGAAATAACAGTTCATTACAAATACCGTTCTATAAACAAACTGTCTTGTACGTTGCTTTGGGGAAGCTTGTGCTTATTGATTGTGAATACTGTTTGATCATCCATGAAAATCCCCTTTATCCATAGGTCTCTGACGCATCTACAAATGGTACCAGCGAGGGATCGTCATCTACATTAACATCGAACTCAACCTCGTGTGCAAACGATGAGGAAGGCGACTTGGACAGTGATGATGATGATGATTATAAATTAGATCTTCGTGAAGATTTATCTCCTACAAGAAAGCTGCTCGTTCTGACGTCAATGAAGAGGAACAACAGTTGTTTTATAACTTGAAAGATGTATGTTTATGAAGACGTTAATTGAACTTTTATCCACTTTGTTTTGTTCACTGTAATTCTATTGTTTTTTTCTTTTTCAACAATTATTTCTATGATATTTCCCTCCACACACAACCAGCATTTCTGCTATATTTTCCTCTACATATAAGAAATCCTTTAATAAATCTTTTGAAAATAGGTTATAAACTTGTTTGATCAATAAACGTTTGTTCTTTGCAACATGAATGCAAAAGAACTCCTTAACTAGTGAATAAAAATGGTTTTGTTTTTCAGATTGCTGGAGAACAAGATGAACAAACTTATCAAAAACTTTCAGAATAAACCAAAGAGTTAGTTTTCAAGCTTTATATTAAAATGAAACATCCCTTTTTGTCCATAAACATCCATATAATTTCCTTAAAGTCTCAAGGCCATTATTGTTTTGTGGAAAGTTTTTGTATATTGTGGATGAAATGGTCACTACCAAAAGAGATTATGTCAAGACCTTGGATTACGTAATCCATGTAATTTTGGAGTTAATTTTGTCGAGTATTTACAATATTAGTAATTTCGTAGAATTTCTTCGTGTAGAATTATGTAAAGGAAATGGAGAGTGACGATCTACCGGCGTCATTACGGGGAAGGAAAAATTTAATATTTGGAAATATTGAGCGATTGTATGACTTTCACCAAAGGTAATTTTTCTGTTGCCAACATTTCTTTCTTGTTCACAGACATAAAATCTGTTGTTAAATCACGAAAGTACATAGCGGTCACCATCTTGCTCTATTAAACTTGCTCCATTTTCATCCGACTACATCAAAGAAAGACGACTAGTCCCAGACCTCTCACTCTTCATACTTTCCAAATTTCATAAGGCGCAAAACATTAGATGTGAAAAAGTCTTGAAACAAGAATAAAAATATGAAAAATATATCGATAAATGTACTGGATAACACAAATGTCTGCTCCCAAGACTATAAATATCTGAACGAATATAAATATCAACAAAATTATCCGACCGTCTTAAAAACCAACCAAAAGTCGGAACCGAAACAATCGGATATCAAACAAATCGGATCGTGTGAACGGGACTTAAAATAATTCATCATATTTTTGTTTAGGTTTTGAGTCTGTTATTATTATTCTTCGTCGCGTTTGCAGCAACCTTTACGGTGATACTGAATGACACAGAGAGATTCGGGAATTTTCGAACATCGATGTTAACTACAGCGATCATGACGATCGGAGAAATTGATTTTAAGGAGACAGTTCTTCGTCACCATTATAACGACATGTTTTACCCACAACAGATAGTTCTTTTTGTCGTCTTCGTCGTCGTCATGCCTGTCGTTATTATGAACCTCATTCTCGCCCTTGTCATTGAGGATGAAAGTAAGATCAGGCTGGACGCCAAATTGCGGAAACATATTCATACGATAAGAAAAATGGTAAAACGATCGAATGGAGCTTTATTTTTTAATATAATCTAAGATGAAATAAGAAAAAGTTCTTTACATCATTAAAACTACGTACCAGACTAAAAATTATTAATTTCTTTTAACGTGCAAATGATTTTTTTATTTCTTTTGTATCAACCACTTTAGGCGAAAATGATCATCAACCTAGAAAGAAAGAAGTTCATCTCTTCTTATTTCACGAAAAAAGAAAAGGCACTTATAGATCCTTTGGTGGAGTGGCCCAAACAAAAACGTGGATTTTCTAATTTTGTCGATGGAATTATATTTTATGATTTTTCCTCCGATAAAGAAGACGTGAGCTCTGAGCAAGTCGAAAAAAATGAAGATCTAGTGACGTTGTTTTAAATGGTTAAAGAATTACAAAATTTAGAATGGAAATGTGTTGAAAAAGTCAGAAGAAAATTCCAGACTAATCAAGAATATCATTGTAATTCAAGAAAAGGAAAATGACTTTGCGCAGTCTCAAGGTAAACTTAGTTCTCTCTAAATTTATACTCGTGTAATTTCCTGTAGACATTGTTAGCTTTGATTAAACCAATTAAATTCATATATATTTATGTTTCACGTAAACATTGTCAGGACATTTTTTTGTCTGTTATTGATTCATAATCACCGACAAACGTCATTTAGTTTAGAATGTCGTGTCGGTGGTGTACATTGAGTGTATAAAAAAACTGAACAGCTACGAAAACGTCGCTGTAGTTTTCAGCGTGCAAGATCTGCATAAACATTTGGTGGAGTGGGAAGTTTGACTTCTAATGGTTCATCTGACTGTAAAATAGCGTAAGAATTGTGTTACCGAGAAACACTTTTGAAATAACCTGCTCAAGAAAATGATATAGCCAAAAAGCAATTGGATAATTTTGTTCTTTTCATTTTCTATTGTCCATTCATCACTGCCAACACTGACACACGTTTATATTTTAGGTAGTGTAAAGAATGCTTTATGATCACTTTTGTTCATATTGGAGATGATGTGATTGATCTCAATTAATATTTCCCTCTTTTAGACGAAAGTGTTAAGCCTTTAAAATATTGAAATGTCTATCTTCATAAAGATAATGCCACTTATTAAGTGATAAGAATAAGATTCATTCGTGGAATAAACTATGTTTACATCGAACTGACAAAATTAAAAGATCTAAAATATTCAAACACTTCATCAAAGATATTGTCCAAAGCTTTGACGTTGAAGTGTGCAAATACACTATTCATGAAATATTGCGAGAGAATTTCATCGAAAAGATGCCAAGAAACTGAAGGATATTTAAAATTTTTCTACAACATCGTTATGCATAATGACGTCACTGGTTGTACTAAATGGATATTAAAAAACTTTAATAACATGAGAAATGAGAATGTAAAACGACATTCACGAACTGTTTTAGAAAGTACGCCGTCGTTTTAAAGTTCTAATAAACGAGAATGTAAAATTAATACCGAAATCTTTCCTGTGAAAAGAAATTTAACATTCTTGGTAATAACTTAACTTGAAATGATAAAATTCTCAGCAAACATACAACACTAAATTGGTTTCAATTCAAGAAGAAAAAATTCACAATTACATAAAAATTATACACACAATCTGTTAAGTAATTATGCCCTCCTAACATGGACTTTTGAAAAACAATTTGTTTCGCTCCAAATCCACGACCGTAGTAAAATACATGATTGGGGAGGAGGAGAGGGAAAGGCTTGTATTCATATGTGCATTCTATAATCCGCTGAAAGCATTGAATCTCAGAAATCAGAGGAACAAATAACGAGATACAACCACCGATTATTGAGCAAGCTACGTCCTTTAGTCTTATTTCTAAGAACTCACTGATCGCTAAGCTACAAAGTTGACCGAACAGGTGTTCGAGTTCAAGCAGGTATTTAGTCAAACTGCACTTCATTCAATATATTCTGTTCAATTCGTTGAGACTTTGACGCACAAGCTGACAAAAGGAGAAAGGAAAGGACTGCTAAGCCTTTTACAGCCGTCTTCGTACTTGACGAGATTACCCACATACCTTTGCGGTCTCCGTCATATTGACTAATTATGGCCGACTCTCATGGCCAGTGAATCGACCTTTTATAAAATGCTTTGTGATGCAGTATTTTGAATCAAAATCTACCAAAATCGAAAGATATACGGCAAGCCAGTTGTCTTTGAAAACTTTAGGATGTCTATAGAGGTAAGATGTCTTGAAATCGATTCCAAATCGCGTTCATAGCCACTCTGTTTTGAGTTGACTGCCATTGTCGTTGACCGATGTTGTGTTTGATGTTTATTTAATCCCTCTGCGCAAAGGTCTCGTCACTTTTTGGGTGAGCTATCACAAAGGAATACATACCGTTGTATTATCCAGGTTTGGTCATATTCTTGGGATTTGTAAGAAATTTTGTTATTCGTAGTCGACTGTAAACAAGCTCATCAGTAATCATGTTCGATCTTTGACGTCTTTGATGTACGTTGCGATCACTTGTCATCAATTGTGTATAATCTTTATTCATTTGTAGTGATATTATAAATAGTTGCGAATATCGTTTACAGGGAAAGTTCTTTTATTTAATCGTGTTCTTTTCATCCAGACGGAATAATTTAATTACAGAAATCGAAGAATTGTTTTGAAACTCTTGCGATTGATTTTAACTGATTTTAGTTGAAACTTTCAAATTGTGACTCTACCTATTTCGACTATACGACTGTATTTAACCACAGCCTTATCGATATCCACTTTTAAAGCAAAATTACACGATTTTTTACTCAATAAACAAGTACATACAGAATTGTATGTCACAATTTCTAATTTACACATAACGGAAGAAGTCGGCAGCTACTTCGGTATAACATTACCTCGAGTGCGGTTTGTATGCTATTTGCTCAAAGCAATTTTCTTGAAGTTATTATAACTGTTTAGAAAACTGTTGGTGTATTCACATACTGATGTTAATTTGAAATATACGATTGTTGTGGTTCCTTAATTGATTGATATTACCTAATTGTAACAGTGGCGATAACCCAGGGAATCATTTCCTTCAAGATAACGCAATTTTTACCGCAAATCCTTAGTCAAACTGCTTCATCTTTGTTGACATACAATGTCCTAATTATCGAGGAACATAATCTTTCAGTAAACAAAGTTACCAGAATGTTCAAATAACACAGAAATAAAGTAATTTATGTTACATATTCCCTGAATCATTAGAACTCAAATTGTAGGTGATTACTACATACATTATCCATTATATTCCAATATGTTTCAAACTTTTTTAAGTGATCCAAATTGAACCAATTTGTCAAGAAATACTTTGCATTTAACCTGTAGGCAGATTGTGTTTGCATCCTTCATGGCATAGCAGCCAGCCAGACTGGTATTCTTGGCAATTTCTAAGGACATTAATCTCTACTTTAAAAATATGTTTTTGATATCGATGAAAGAATAAACTTTTGCTAAAATATTTAATCCCTTTTTTTCATTGGCATTTCTGTGTATAAATAAACATATCACCATTACAGTAGCAAGCCTTTGTGCATGATGAAAGCTCACAAGTTTGAGCTTAGATATTATGTTATCAAAATAAAATAGAGTGCTTAAAAATTCTATTTTTTTGATCTTGTAGACACAAGAGGATGAACAATGGAAACTGTTTCTCGAGGGTTCCATGTTCGAGGATCATTTTAATGAACTGGAGAAGATTTGTGAAGAGGTTTATGGTGGCCATTCTGAGCTCTTTGATAATGAGTTTTTGAGGCCTATTTGCTCATTACTTCTAGAACTACGAACTTCAGCTGAGGTTTGTAAACATAAACATGTCTCTCTCTGCTGTAGGCGATATTGTTATTTCCATATGATGTCAATAGCACAAGATTAATAACACATTTGAAGTAAACGACCAAATTTTTCAACATAAAGAAGTATCGACTTAATTTCAAGACATCTTTAATTCAAGTGAACATAAATATATCATACTTATGAATTACCAATTAATAATTCATACTTTTATTCTATAATGGAAAAATCAAAGCATCATAAACAGCAAAATAAATAAGTTATATTAAACTTATCATAATTCAAATGGTATATAAATGTTGAAAGAGCGTGTTTATCTTTGTAAACTTTGAACCATCTGCATAGGTCTATTAATTGATCTGAGTTTATCTCTGGAAAATAAGAAATAGGTTTATTAAACCAGAGTACATATTCAATTTAATTGCTGTTTTGATCCAGGTTTATCTTCGCAAACTCGAGCATTTTGGGATAATTGTTAATTAATAAGGGGCCTGGACCCGACTGTTATTGTTGTTTATCATTTGTAAACAAATGGCTTCTGTATTTTCTTCCTCAATATATGTTTTACAAGATCCTTATTTTGTAACATAGACTAAGTCTTATCTACAAACTATAAACTACATTATGTCTATAAAACTATAGTTCATAGTTCATTTTTTCCAATTTTGATCAGTTTACAATATCTTTGTAAACTATGAACTAGTCATACATATTAAGTTTTAATCCAGTTTTGATCCAAGTTTATCTGTGTAAACTATGAACTGGGTCTGTTCAAAGCAGAATACATATTCAATTTTAATGCAGTTTTGATCTGTGCTCATAAACATTTTGAATTTTTTAAAAAATGTCATTTCAACAGTCAATTCCATGAAAAGTATTTGATCACTCTTGCATTGTATGAACGTTCTGCCTCAAGTCGGAATTCTGACTCGTTTTTTCAGAGCAATGTCATTATCTCACACCATTACCTGCAGTGACTTAGCGCGGTAGCCAGTGACGTCATTCCATTTAGATTTGAAAACTTTATTAGTTTTCTTTTCTTTAAACATTTATTGTTTTTAAAATAAGTGAACGTCGAAAAAATACAGAACATGAGTAAATGAGCGGACCTGGTTACTGTCTACGTCGTACACATAGCAGGGATAATTCAGGGGTGTCGGGGTTAGGAGGGGTGTTAAGGGGGTGTGCACCTTTCATATTCTTTGTTAAAGGGGAGCGGGATGGGTACCAATTTTCCTACAAATACTAATAAACCAAATAATTAAGTTGTGACTCATTCCGGATTCATGTAAACACACAATAGAATTTCTTTTGAAATGGAATGAGTTCATTCAGGATCGAAAGTCATTCCGGATTCATGTAAACACCCCCTTATCAATCTTCCACGCTCCCTGCAGTGTGACCATCCGGGAAAGTCTCAATTTTACGGAAATTGCTTGAAATCAATAACATTGCTTCGTTCTCCATCTTTCAGACATTTTTCTCAAATTCTGTAATGAACGAGGAAAAATGGCTACCATGTTACGAGAGATTTGTCACATCTGTGATTCATCTCTCGCAGCTCGACATCAACCTCCACAAAGGGGAATTCTATTTTCACTTGAACCTCACATCGCCAGGCGAAATCATCTTGAAGTATTACGATTCCAAAAAGGTGATGTCGTTGCCGCTGACCAAAAGCGAATACGATTGCATATGGGCTTCGAACTGGAATGAACGAAAGTCTAGACAAATGAAGAACAGGTTTCTTTTTTTGAACTGTATTGTGAGAGGCCAAGCAGGCAAAGGATTTGAACGCAGACCGTGGAGGTACATAATGGCATTTGATACAAGGCACAGACGGCAAAGCAGCAAGGACTTGAATACGGAGCTGAGCCCGCGGACGAGCAGTGTAAATGCTTTCACGATGTTCACAGATTTAAGCTCGAAGCCATTGACTATACTTGATGTAAACTTCGAAGTCATTCATAGCCATGTAATCTGCATGCCAGGTAAGATGATTGTTACGTAAATAGTCAGTGAAATAAGTTCTACAGATAGTTACATCGAACTTAAAAACATTTGCAACATATTTGATGGGAAGAAAATTTTATCTTTATGGGTTTTTGTTGCCCAGAAGTATATGATTGTGAACCGGATGTGAATTAGAAAGGAGAACACGTACATTGAAGATTTTGCTTTCATTGTACTAAATAAAGCTGTTATAACAAATCTCAAAAAACTACACCACAAATTTACGTACGGATAATGTCGCTTTGGTGTATAGTTTGATGACATCGTTTTTCACGAATAATCAAAGAAAACGTTGAGAGTAAAACTGCGTTTTCTTGTTTGTAAATGCTTACATTGGGTGATATTCTTATATTCTGCTATGCGTGGTCTATTTCTTTTGAAAGCAATTTCACATTCAAAAGAAATCAGGTTGTCATAGCAATTTGTATGAATATGGCCCCCTCTGTCTGGAAGTTTGGAAGAACTTGAGAACTGATCTGAAACTGAGTGATTCGCAAATTCTCTTTGATTGATTAAATTGATTGAGTTCGGATCGATTTGCATGGGTTAATTCGAAATCAGCTACAGCCCAATTAGCGCACGTGTTTAATTGTTTTTCTTTTATAATTAAGAAATAAAAGATGTTTACTGTGTGCGCACTGGCTTATGCAAACCGAGGAGACCTTTGAGAGAATTCTAGAGCTGATCAGTGCAAATCCGAGAGGGAGTTCTTGCTAATGTCTCCTCAGTTCACATTGCATAACCCAGTGCAAACACAATAAACATCTTTTATTACTTTTTTTAAATAAAAACATATAAACTCGAAACAAATTTTTCAATTTTTCCCATAACATGTATAATGATGGGTTCGCAAATTCTCTGTAGCTAATTGCTTTTATTGACTGAGCTGACATCGGTTTGAACAGGATAATGCAAACTCAACTATAGACCAATCAGCGCACGCGTTGTATTGTTGTTATTTTATTGTTCATCGGGTTTTAATTTGTAATATAATTCGTAATTCGAGTTTCCATTTTCCCGCGTAGGTACAAGGGACGCAAGGGGTGCACCTGTGATATTTTTGGATGCTGGAAAGTCGGAATGGCAGATTCCAGATTTCGACAGCGAAGAAATAGCACGAATATGTTTATATTTCCTTCAAATTCCCAGGCAAGTAAACATTACGTACAGCGTTCGGTAAACTATTTACGTATTGTTTGGATGCGTAGTAGCTAATAGGGAGCTTTAGCAAGAGTACGACTACGACAACGAGTACGAAGTTTGACCGTGTAAGGGAATGGCACGAGGAAGTTTGTTGTCGTTGTCGCTTCATCAAAATTTTGTTTTAGTTGTAAACAACAGAACGAGCCTTTTTATTGTGTAAAACACCGACGTTTGCGAAGCAGCTACAGATCTATTTGTCAATAATGATATCAACTAATCGGTAATACTGGTTTTGCGAGAATATAGGACTCTTTAGAGTGAAAAATCTTCACTATTTTAAGTTTTATGTACGATATATTTGTACTATTTTATTGTTTGTTTACCTTTCACTTTGCGTACGAAATACATGAAAGTTTTGCAGGTCATATTTTCCCTTTTAATGTACATCTGCGCTCAAAAAAGGTTCTAAATTAAAGCCTGGATGCTCGAAAATAGTACTGTAAACTAATTTCTTACAGAATGAAGAAATATACCTACTTTCTTTGCTTAAAAAGACATCGTAGTCGTAACTACGAATTTTTTACAAAACATCGTACTCAGATTGATGACGGCTACGTGTTTTTGTTGTCGCAACAATGTTTTCGCGCCAAATTGACGTAAATCGTACTCGTAGTCGTACTCTCAGTCTTTGCTAAAGCTCTCTAATGTTAGACATACGGCAGAAAGTAAGGTGCTTTAAAAATGCTGTAGATGTTTCAAGCTGGAACTTTATAAGTTTACTTCTATTGTTTTCTGTATTTTGAGACCTTTGACCGGGAGAAAGATAGAATTCAAGCAAAAATGCTTGTTGACAAACTAGAACGATAATTGGGTTTGTGTGTGTGGGGGGTGGTGGTGAATATTCATGAATTCAGCTCTCCCCCGCTGATTTCTTTTGAATTTAAAATTGCCAACAAAAGAAATCCTCAGGCCAGATCTGAATATATGAATAGTCTTACATACCTCCCCCCCTCCTCCCACAAATTAGCGTTCTAGTTTTGCTCCTGCTTATTGACCACTAACAACTCACCTAATTCGATTTCTTATCGGGTCTCTAAACATTTTTATACGCAACCTATTAACCATAAGAGTTTAAAAGTTGATTAGTGTCGAGACTTCTATGAAATGAAAAGCTGTTTGATGAATTGAATCATCATTCTGTCTGAGGATGACTTAAATATGATGAAATTAAGTCGAAAATTTACAGTTCACTTCTCGTCTTGTTTTGATGCTTATTTTGCAATCTCAAGATGTCTTGCTTTTTCGGTATTTGCTTTATACTGTATTTTAGCCTTCACAACGTTTCTTAGTTATCTTGCATTTGGAAAAAAATTTCTATTCTCGTTCTTTTAGGGAAGAAGTTTCCAAACTAGGTTTGTCTATTTTTGTCGATGCACGAAACGCTGACGATAACAAAAGGACTTTGCAGATCATCGGGGAAGCTCTAGTTTTTTTCGAGGTACGTTAAGTTTGAAGCAAGAAACGTTCGGAGAATTACTAAGCCTCATCAGTAAATTTGCATGATAAAATAGCTATTTAAAACACGGGCACTGATTGGATGAATGCTCGACACGAACATTACGTCATTAAAATCGATAAATTTACTATTGTTTTTAAAAGACCATTTTTTAAAGGAAATATAAGACATATTTACTTGTTCCTATTGAGTTACAGAAGACAGAAGAATGACAAAAACAGAGAATGTTTTCTTTTTCTTAGTTAAAGGTTGTGTCAAGCAAAAGAAGACCTTTACAAATTGACGTTGTATTCATTTCAATGCCTAATTTTGCTGTTAGAAGTTAATGTTTAATTCTCAGGAGCAGAAAAGCTTCAGTAGTAGTAACAAAGATACGTAATATATGCAAGTAACTTACAATACTTAACGCGCACCCCCCTCTCTGGGTTAGCAAAGTGATAGGCATTAATATTATCATCACGTCTATTACTAAAGGTCTTTATTTTTCCTACACCTCACAGAGCGTAGAGTACATTTGTTACCAGGCCTTTATGACGTAATCGGTTGAATTGGTCACTACGAATCGACAGAATATGATTAAAAACGGGCAAATGACAAAATGATGCAACTTTCACTGTACTTATACTCAGTACTTTACAAATAAGCGAAAAAAAAAACTGGCTACTAGTCACAGGATTTCAATCGTGCTGACTACATAATGGAAGTTTACGTAATCATCAAATAATACACAGCAATTTAACCATTGATCGTGTAAAATAGGAAAATACTGTAGCAAATTTTGAAAAGACCAAAAAAGGCCAAATTTACTAGGCTGGGCAATGATTATTTTCTCAGCCAGACGGATTTGAAAAAGGCAATTGACCAGTTTAATGACCGAAAATGGCCAAACTGGCTCTTGTATACCAGACATTGTGTGATACTTTTTATTCATATTCCGTCATTTGATACGATGTTTATGGTCATTGGGGGCACAATAGAAATTCCATTTTTCTGCTCTCCGTGTATTTACTCAAGTACTTGGTGTAGTTAAGTAAATTTTCCTCGCTTTTTGACGGTGATCTCGCATAAGACTAACATACAAAAAGTAGAGTTGTGAAAAAACTGCGATTGCACTGGTATTACATGAGATGCAAAAGAAAGGTTTGTGAAGAAGGTTCAATCAAAGTTATACATTCCAATTAATCACACGCAAAGTGCAAATCGCTTTTTGGCACTTCACACTTAACTCGGATTTGCTTTTTGGCTCTTACTATTGTGATGATTCCGGATGCATTGTCTATCACCATGATAACAAATAATACAAATAAAGTAAAAACTTATTAAGAATTTCTCAATATACCATTTATGTATGAATCTGAGTGCAGAAAGTTGTAATTTGATTCATGATGTAATTTTGTGATTCGTGTAACAATGCTTAGTGAGATGACGTAATTTTGCGGAAGGTTTTCAAAACACGAAATCTCACTCGTATAAAAGCTGAACTCCTTTTGCAGCTTGCATATGGAAGCTGGACCATAATGAGTTTTTGTGTGAGTGCTGTTCGCTCTTAAAAGACGGACGAAAGATTTTAACGAAAGTCTATATGGGGGGAAGAAGGGGAAATTGTCTTTGTTTACTGCGCTTGCTGAGTGGCAAATCAATGATGTACAGCGCTTTCACAAAATCAATGGTGAATCTCTTTTGTGTGTATGTTCATCAATTTATTGTCCTCAAGTCAAGAATAACCACAAATATGTAATAGTGAACTCGCAAAGTTCACATGATGCCGTGTATGTTGTGATAAAAAATAGTTCTTGCGAAATAATCATGTGAAGACGAATCATTTAATTTAACTTCGCGATTCTCTATTGTCGTTTTTCTGTTTGTGCAAAACACGAACCTCGCCACGTAATTGTCAGATTCGCAATTGCGTGTTGTCAGTTGCAAGATTTATTACGGGCGAGACGGGCAGAGAAGCTTCATTAGCTAAGCTCATTTGTCGGCATCGGTTATGTTCTTTCTCAAAACAGTGTATTTTGTAATCGGACACTTTATTAGTCGTAGAAGAATTCGATAAATCCGTGGGTATAGATCTTGTCGCCCCCTTATCTCTGTGTGAAAAATTTTTTTAACGACTAACAACAACAGAGAACTATGGCGTCTCGCGCAATTTACCGAACGGAGATGAAGTGATTTTTGTGCACTGGTTATTTGGCAAGCTTTGGTTATGTTACTGATGATGGTATAACATGCAATATCTTTAGTGGCTGTACATTGATCTTGTTTTGGTGTATGATAAGCATGACTTTGACTTACGTAAACTGATGCTACTGCTAATGTTGCAACGTATGCCATTTTTGCGGTTTTAATTGGTGAGGCGTAATGATTTTAAAAGCAAACGAACTTTTTGGCTGGTTAGCAAATCACGTTTATGTAAGCTGAAGAACCGGTGGTGATCTTGCGATTGTTTGTCGGTCTATCCTGCTTTATGTTGCTTCTGAAAGTCATTGGAATTTGCGATTTCTATGTGTGTGAAGTCTCCTCCATATTCTAGTTGCTACAATTTCTCTTTTCTTGTTCCGATAACCCCATAGTTCAAATGGTTTTATAAGTTTTCATTTGGGTCATGGACTTCGTGATATGTAGGACCACTGACTGGGAGGATATTTACTTTATGTTCACATGTCATTGTAAAAGTTTAGGATCGTAGAGATCGTCAACATTAATGATTTTTTTGAGGAATATGAAACTGGCTTTAAACATAAAAGCAGAAGACTACGAGTTTCAAATTTATGTTGTATTTACATTCAAATATTTCACACAGCACATGTTTTCAACTTTGAATTTCTTCTGTAATCTAATGCTTGTATTTTTCATTTCCATAGGAGATGCAACCAGGTAGCGTTCACATTGCCTACATCCTCGAACGAAAAGATTCACATCTTTTGATGTTCAGTGCTGATAAACTAAAAGAAAAACTTAAATTTCAAGTGAGTTGGAGAATGTTGGGATAGGTGGGTGGAAAGACTCGTGTTGCCCTTTTGCGAAAAGGTTCATGAAAATGTCTGTTTTTAGTTCAAATTGCTGTCGTCTTTTGATGATGTGCTATCTTCCATTTCAATGGATCAAATTTCCACGACCTTCGGCGGAAGCTTTGAGTACGATCACGATGCTTGGCTGCAGTTTCGATTGGTGAGAAATTTATCACGTTGTACGATTGTGTATTTTGATACATACCGTTAACATTGTCACGTTTCTGAAACAATTTGTAATAGACTTTAGACATCTCCATCACATTTTATATTGTACATTTGTTGATAAAACTTTAAAATTTGACACGTGTTGATAACATTGTACATTTTGACACATGTTAATTACTTTGTACATTTTGACACATTTCTAGTTTTTGCTGAAGATTCGTACATTCAGTATAATGCACTATAAAGGCTGAAACACACTAGACAGTCGCTTCAGTCAGCGCGTCTAAAGCGAATTGATGCGCACGCGTCAGTCAGCAGAACGCTAGAAACACATGCAGCGACCATAGCGACATTTACCATGAACATTTAACATGGCATTTAACATGGCGAAGATTTCTGTTTGTTACAGACAGAGATATCCTTAAACTTTTATTTAGCCTTTATTATAGCTACTAATATATGAATATTTACTCAGTACAACTACTATGTGGGAGAAAAGAGAACAAGCCAGTTAAAACACGCCAATATGATCATAGCCCATTACACGAAAACGTGGATAATCTTATTCTGTGCATTTAGGTTGTGCATTAGGGATCCAGTTTGTAGCTCCTATTGTCCTATATTATAAGTCATATAAAACTGAAAGATTCAGGGTGAATTCACTATATTTTGCCTTCGTTTTCAAGGTATAATCTATAAATTCCGTATGATGCTTATGACAGGGAATATGATATGCATTTAGGAGTTAAATGTATCTATTATTGGCCAATCAGTGTAAGCGACTGAAGCGACCAATGTCAAAAGTTCAACATGTTCAACTTTTAAGGCTGAAACACACTAGTCAGTCGCTTCAGTCGCGCGTCCAAAGGGAATTGATGCGCACGTTTAGCCCGAACGCCAGAAACACACATGCAACTGACCATCGTGACTTTTATGTGGCGTCTATTGAACATGGCGGAGATTTCTGTTTGTTACAGACACAGACATCACTTAAACTTTTGTTGGGCCTTTTATTATAGCTACTAATATGCTGAATATTTACTGGTACAAACTACTATATGAGATATGATCTTCGCACTTTGCTGGACAATTTAAACAATCGTCTCAGGAACCTGAAAAATCAGGTGACTCAACAGGATAGTCCCGTTTCAAACCTGCCTGCATAAAACATTCATACAAACTACTATGTGGAGAAAAGAGAACAAGCCAGTTAAAACACGCCAATATGATCATAGCCCATTACGCGTATATCGTGGATAATCTTATTCTGTGCATTTAGGTTGTGCATTAGGGTTCCAGTCAGGGGCGGATCTAGGATTTTTAAACATCAGTCATAAAGCGTCGGAGCTCCCTCTGCCTGGAAGTCTGAGGCATTCTTCCCTGAGAAATTTTGAATTTCAGAGCCTTCAAAATGCCATTTTCAGCGTTTTAGAAATACAAAATGTATTTTGTGGGCATCGTTTTGCGTAAAAACAACACATTTTGCTTACGTTTTTTCAAAAAATGAAGTGAACAATACTTGAATGTTTTGCCAAATATTTAGGCTCATTATCATGCCAAATATATGGCTCATTAGCATGTCTAGGAACGTAAAATTTATTTTACAATAATGCTATTCAAAAACAGATGTAGCCTTTAAAAATTTCTACCAAGTTGTCAGGCATAGACCCCCCTTGAGACCCCCATTCAAACCTCTATGCAATAAGTTAAGTTAGAAATTTGGTACTACAAGTGACAGTTCATAGATATAGAAAAGCTAGACTTCAAACCATGCAAGTTTATTGTAACCCTTTACCCATCTCCACATCAGTGCCAACAAATTCACCTTTGGAGAAAAAACTCAAAATTTTTTTCTGCCAAAGATTAAGCAAAAATTATCAAAGTGAAAATTTGCAGTTAAGGACAGCTTAATGCCATGTTTATTAGGCATTTCACTAAACTATTATCTTCTGCAAGGTATAGCAATCACTAGTAGCATTGTATTTGCAAATACAAACAGAATGTAACCAACATGTCTCTAATTATATAATTATATAAATGTTAAAATTGGTTCATGTGTCATGCTTACTGGTTATGATAAATATCTTTTCATATGATCAAAGCTCGTTTAAATGTAAATCTGAAATAATTTAGTTTAGAAATTATACTGATCATCAGAAAAATTACCTAGTGATCATGAAAAATATACTTTGCTGTTTTGCCAAATTTCAAAGTTTATCTGCATACATAGAAAGACATTTTTACTTTATAGAAAATGCTTTTCATACATCAATAGCCCTTTGGAATTTATGGCAAACAATCTGGTATGAGCCGTGGATTAACACACCTTTACATCTCTACATAATGTGTTCAGTTAGAAAAGGGGACAATATGTGACATGGGACAACATTTCATGTATGTGAAATACTCAGGTTTAATACCATTTCAGTCAAATTGTCAAAATAAAAAGCTTCATGGATCAGAAGACTCAAAATCACAGGTTATAGTAAACAGCTTCTCATGTAATCAATGTTAGTTTTCTCAAATCTTAAACAATATGTAGTATAACTGTCCAATGATTGAATGAGATCAATGATCATAAACTGAAAAGCCCCAAACATTTGTTTATGATAAAGTAAATAATAGTATGGCGGCTTATGGCCACAGATTTTTTGTCCATTTACATATATTTGCAGGGTGTTGAAGTTTCGCTGTCATATAACGGTCACGATTCCCCAAGCACTAAAGAAATCATAGCTAAAGTCCTTCGGCAACAACAATTTTAGAAGCATCAATCTGCTTACCATACGCCTATTAACATAAATCGCATCACACACTCGCATAAATTGACTTTGATATATTACATTCATGCATACACTTCAGTTGTCCTACTTACGATTTTGGATGTAAATTTCTGCTGATAAAACTCAAAACAATGTTGGCTTGCTTTTGAACATCAATGACTGAAATGTCGCTCGCGAGATCGTCTTTGCCAAACATTTACAATTCATCCATAAATTTTCGCCCTCTTGAAAATTCCCAGTTTGGAAAGCAGCATTCATGTCAATATAAATTTGTGAAAGATTTCCATAAATTCCATCTGATTGTAGTTTAGTTTCTATCATGCTATAAAAAGTACTATGAAACCATCAAACATTCAGATTCAGACAGTGAGCTTGACTATGTTAGTTCAGTTGGCTATCAGTCGAAATCGGTCAAACCAATCACAGTAAGACAAAATTTAAACTTAGACCAATTACACGATAAGTGGACTCCCTTATAGGTCCGGCCACCCGCTTATCGGTCGAGATTATTCCAGATCGTCCACTGATCTGGCTATTGACCAATGAAATAAGTGTTTTGGCCTTCATAGACTCCTTTGTCCGTCGAACAGTCAAGCCACCCCGCTTATCAGTCCAGTTATTCCAGGTCAATTAAAATTCAACTGATCTGGTTCAACAGAGATATTCATTGGATTAGTCATTTAGTTTTCAATAATAAATAAAGCTGGATTTTTATCACGAAGTAAATGCGATAATAAACTACGAATAATTAATGAATTTTTAATTAATATGAATAGGTAATTTTTGAATTTTAAACATCAGTCGCGCGACGGATTTGACATACTCTAGATCCGCCCCTGGTTCCAGTTTGTAGCTCCTATTGTCCCTATTTAATAAGTCATATAAAAACTGAAAGATTGCAGTGTGAATTCACTATATATTGCCTTCGTTTTCTAAGGTATAATCAAAAAGCGGTAGTTTTAGACGCGCGACTAAAGCGACTGCCTAGTGTGTTTCTGCCTTTAAAGCGACTAGCTGACGCGACTACGCTATTAGCTTAGTAACCACGCAAAGCGGTAGTTTTAGAAGCGCGACTAGAGCGACTGCCTAGTGTGTTTCAGCCTTAAGATGTCCAGCTATGACACAATTCATGTGATATGTTTTTCGCAAACCTTCCTTGTGCGTGTTTGTACAATAGTTTGCCTTGATTACGTGCAGTCAAATCTCTCGAAGGATTGAATTAAGCCTTATTTTAATATGATTTGAAGATTAGTCGACATAGATTTTTATCTATTGAGTTTTTTTCTTTAACCGTTGTAGCTTCATAGAACAATTTTATGTTCATCTAACCACACTTGTAAAATGAAACTCTCTCTATTATAAACTTTGAATGCGGAAACGTCTCTAATGTAAACTTGGAATAGAGGAGCGTCTCTAGTATTTATCTTTGAAACCTGTATTTTTAGAAACAAGAACCCTTCATGGAAGGTTGTCGAAGTGCAACAAAGCTGGCTTTGACGGCAATAGATGAACTTGGAATAGGAAAATGTGGTGAAACGGTAGAAAGAACGTCAAGAGTTGCTCCAAGAACACGATAAAAAGTGAGCGCCAGCTTTTCAGACAACCGTCTGTGCGTTATAAGTCGAAGGTGAACAACTTGTGTCAGACATACAGCAGACAGATAACTCGAACAAAACACAAGGCTGGAAATATACCATGTAATTTGTCTCGAAATTATATTTCAAAATGAATCAAGTGTTCTCCAAGCTGGAAGTTTTGTATAGAAAACGAAAACGAGAGCTCAAGGATTGTCTACAGTTGAAATGCTTTCAAGAGGAATACGCTAAGGTATGAAATCATTAAAATGTTTGCAGGGTTTACTGGAAGAGTTTTAATACCAAAATATACAATATCTTTGCCGTTGTTATGAAGAAAATTGGAGCAACATTAGAAAATTTGCACTTTGCCCTTTTCAATTACTGTTAAGCTGCTTCGAATCTTTTTGATCTCATCCGCGAGTGGGCCTCAATGGCGTTTGATTGTATTCAAATTAACATAAGAACAACGTTTGTTAGAAATTTCTAAAGAATATTTAACTCCTACTCCAGCTGACATAACTCTGGCTATTGCTAAAAAAACTCCGTCTTCTCCTAAAAAGTTTACATGACCGAATATTGAAGAAATTCGAAACTAGAGAATATTGTCCTTCTAGTGGTAATGATATTGACTGGTTTTCCAAATATTGTTACAACCAAATTTGCAACTTTTGCTTTAAAGTGCCTTTAACACGAAATTTTGCTAGTTAAATTATGTTTGCAATGAATAGAACTTTTGAAATGACATTGTACTTTCTAAAACATTTAATGCATATCTCTTTTCCTTCGCATAATATTGACGTTTTTGTTATTTCCATTTTATCTAACTTGTGACGTCATATTGCATAATGAGTTTCCACAATGTTTTAAATACTCTTCGATTTCCTGACAACTTTATATCTTATACCATTAACCACGTCACAACAAAGGAACTCTGTCCTTGTGAAGTAAAGTATCGTTAAATATACCTAATACTCCTAGTTCTCATTATGTAAATGACGTCACAAGTTAGAGAAATCGGACAAAGCAAAGATCTCAATATCTCAAGAAATAAAAGTGATTTGCATAAACTGTTTTAGAATGTCCATTGTCATCTCAAAAGATATCTTCAATAAAAGTACAACTCAGATTGCAAATTTTTTAGTGTCATGGGCACTTTAAGCGAAGAAAATGCTTTAGTTTATGTAGGACTTGTACTTTGATGAGAAACATCGCCTTGTCTCAGTATCACTTTATCGCAAACAAATTGTTGTTCTTGGACTATATAATTGTCAATACAATAAAGTGACATATTATCTGTCATACAAAAAAAGCGCTATTTCTGGGAAAAGTTTTGGTTGTTCGTCAAGAATAACCTCGTATTTTTATCACACTTTTCCTCGTGTTAGGGAAAATAAAAATTGTTTAATAAATAAGCTATGTACAATTGGCAGTGATTTCGATTTTGATGAACAAAGACTTGACAAAACAACTGGTCAAATCCATGCAGTTTAAAAATTCTGAACAAAACTAATGCTATAAATTTTCTTTTTACCTAGTCTTTAGTAAAATACCAAAGTCATTTATTCTTCAGTAATTTACTATAAAAATCAAAAGCTATAAGAAAATTGAAGGTTTACATATTGAACTTCATATATTCACTGTTCAACTTAATATTAAAAAGTTTAGCTGAGTTATAATGATCTGATTATTTACAAAATATTTTGTGCTTATAAATAATTTTGCCCAAAAGGTAAAACTTCAGCAATAGCTCCATCTCGTGATTCATTCATTGAAGGAAGATATGTCCATGAGGAACTGCTTCCCATTTTGAAACACTCCACTGATTTAAGTTCTTCACCATTATCATGCACACCTCCCATGACAATAATTGTATCATCTGTTATAACTGCACAACACCTCACTCTCTTTTCCATCATATATGGTAAGAAAGTTATCTTACCTGTATTACAGTCATACATGATAACACTGTTAAAATATTCTGTTTTATCATAACCTCCAAGAAGAACAACTTTATCTCCATTGAACTGTTGCCATTTTAGTCAATGGATGAGGTAATGGAGGCATTTCCTTAAATGTAAGAGTCCTGGATCAAACTCCAAAACACTGGAGAAAACTTTTTACCTTTTCCTGTCCTCCAAAAATAAGAACTTTATCATCAACAACAACAGCTCCATGGCACCAACGTGGTTCAGGCATATGACACAACTCTTTTAAAACATGAGATGTTGTACCAGTAACCTGTATTTCACTAATCAAATCTGATTTTCCTTTGCCATCAATGAGTCCTCCAACAAGAAGGACTTTTTGTTTACAAACAACAGTTTGATGATGCCAACATTTATAAGGAAACTCTGTGAGAAATTTTCTCCATGTCAAAGGTGACTGTTTTATATTCAATGTCTCTATTGACTTGCAGCGTAATCCTCCAACAACAAATAAATTATCATTATAAATAAATGATGAAGCACACCAGTGCTCATTTTTCATTGTTGCAATCTCAAACCATTCCTTCTCCTTCCATGAAAATATTTCAGCACTCTTGTACGAAAAGAGGTAGTAACCACCAGCAATCAAAATATCTTCTTTTCCTGAGTTCATCATTCCCTCAATTGATGATGGCAATGTTTTGTCATGTTCATCTTTATTCTTCTTTCCCAATATTTGAAGTATCATGACTTTCATTTCTTTCATTTCTTCAGTCAGTGTAGAAAGATTTTGTTGAACGTTTTTTATTTCTTTCCTTGATTCCATCATTTCTTTGGTCACTGTAGAAAGATTTTGTTGAATATTTCTTATTTCTCTTTTCGACTCAATCATTTCTTTTTGTGATCTCGAGTTTTGGTTCGTCAGTGACTCCATTTTTCTAGTTATTTCAGTCAGCTGCGTTTTCTCTTGCTCCTCATGATCAAAATTTCGTTGAATTATTTCTTTAATCTCTTCAAAGTAATGAGATGCAGTCTTTCTGTATTCACATAACTCAGTTTCATGTTTAATCTTGTCTCGTTTGTTTATCTCCTTGCCACAACGTTCATTAGAACACAGCACTGGAGCAAAACCACAATTTTCAACATGTCTTTCATGATCTTCAACGTTGATAAATTCTGGACAACCGCGATTAGCGTCGTCGCAGCTGATTTTAAACTTAGAAATCAAGTTATTTATAACACGCGCTGGAAGAAGTGTAGCTACAGTCAAATTATCTTGACATTGAGGACATCTTTGTGCATTAACTCGTAGATGTTCTTCAATACAAGAACGACAAAAGATGTGTTCGTTATGCTGACACATTCTTGCACCTTTAACGACGTTGAGACAAATTGCACAGCGAAAATTTTCATCAACAGCAGTCTTAAATCTCGATTCATCATAGCCACATTCATGATCATTAGGACGATAAGCCATTTCATTCGTTTTCCCGTATAATTCAGTGTTAAGATTAATTTAGAAAGTGACGAAATTATTTATTTATCGCTACAAGTTAAAGTAATGTAACAGAAGCGCCTACGTGGCCCATTAGTGACACGTTCATTCTATAGAAAATTGTGCTTTCATTTTGTAAATTAATTGATTCAATAATAAAAAGACAGTTTGCCTTACAAAAGTAGTCAACTTCAGCGAAACAACCGTATTCCACTAATAACAAAGAGCAGTTTTCAATTTTAGTGACGTGTTCTGTACAAACTTGATTACTGTTCCGTAGAAAAATGTTACATGTTCCGTAGAAAATTGTACGGTGGCGTGTATCTGCAATTCACAAATTGATATATTCAATGCAACATCTATATTTCAGATGCAAACTTTAACATTACAAAACAAAATTAATGTTTCCAAAGCGCACTAAAGTATTGAAATCTCAATTCAAAGTCCGCCAATGCAAAACAGATGAGTCAAAACTAACTTATTAAAATGTTTCAGTGCAAAAATTTGTTTACCCAATGTAAAATGATTACCGCGCACCAAAGCCAATGCAGGCTCATTTCAGAATCAGCAAGTGTGTTTTGGTTTCTAAGTCTTTGCTATCGCCTTTCGTTTTTAATTTGCTATTGTTTGGAGTAATGTTCTGTGCATTTTGCGGAGAAGCGTTGGAGAATAGTTATCAATTTTGCCCATATTGTGGCTCCAAATCACCTACTATATCAAGAGCTGACAATGTTGAGACAAGGTTTACATATTTAACACATACGACACTAGAATTAGCTGTATTACTTTTTGTGTCAATGCGCTGTGCTTTTTGTTATTAGTTTTTTTAATAACCTTTGAAAGACTGTATTTCTGGCGATTCTGTTCAAACAATGTTTAATCTGTGAAAGCAGATGCATTACACATTTCAAGTGATTGAAAATAGTCAATTTTATTTCCTACTTTTATAGTTCGATGTTGTGTTGTCATTTTAACGTTATGTAAGTTTAAAAGATAATATTTGCTGTTATTTACTTTCTGCCTTTCATTCAACATACCAACAAAGTAAGCCTAGGTAAATGTAAACAATGCGAATAAAAGTGTTGAATTTAACTAAATTCAAGTACAGTTCATCGTATTAAGTATAAGTTTCTCGTACTACCATTCCACAAACATGATAAAATTGATCATTTGCATTGTCTATATCTGTATTATTTCTTGAGGATTTTATTGCTTGCTTTTTATCATTTTTTGTAAAGTTTTATATAGAGCACGCTAGTCCGTTAAATGGATAAAACAATTTCATGTTTTGTTCTGCATGAATAGACGATTACTGGCAACATCATATGATAAAGTTGAATGGTTGAGCCTTGTTTTTTATTAAATTAATATTTCTGAAGATTTTACTTAGACCATGCTGTAAACTTTCCACAAAATTGAACAAATCAACAATCAAGTTACCCAATATCACCGACAATGTTTTAATTATAATACAAAATCAACAATTATATAACAAAAAACCCGAATGAAGTGCTTTCACTGACAAGTGGGCAGAAAATTTAAAAAAGAAAAGGACTTTGTGTTGGTTTCATGCTCACTTGAGAATTTGCTCTTTGAAGTAACCTACATTTGAAAACAAATCACAAATTGTGTGGTTTCACTGTTTTCGGTTAAACAAAGATTAAATTTTTCAATTAATCTTATGTGAACCAAATTTCCTTTTCAATTTTTAATCACTATATTCTCTCTGGCTATTCCACACTTTCTGCGAGTAAAGAAAAACTTTGCATTTCCTTTTTTTGGCCAAAGTTGGCAGTTGGCACGCTTGTCAAAATATCGTTTACTATCAACTGTAGTTTTCAAATTTCAATAAGCGAAGAAAGAATGGATGCTCACGTGATTACACTGACCTTTTCATATAGCTGGATTGTGTAGTCAATTGTGTAAAATTTATCGATGTTATAGGCTATCGGTATTTGACACGATTTTTGTAATGTATGATATAAATGTTTTTTTAGGTATTAGAGTGGTTACTGGATGTCGGTATGCCTTGTTTGGAAAAACCTTTGGAGATAGCTCAGTCGTATGGACAGACGCTTAGTTACCATGGTAACTTCGAGAAAATCCTGGCACCTGCTAAGGTATCATGGTATGGATTGGGAAGTAAAAACTACAGTAGATTATATCAATTTGTCACAGGAAGAGACATCATCACCAGTAGTTTGTAACCTTTACTTAACCCTCCCCTTCTTTGTTAAACCTTTCTTTGAAAGGAAACAGGTCCACCTGGAGAAAATCTAAAACTTAGCGTTGACGAATTCCTGACTGCACAACTTTTCTTAAATATTTTAAGTATTTGTCCCAAAATCATAGAATTTCATTGAAGACTGTACAAATTTATCCCAATTGGCACATAATTCTTTCATACAATACATCTTTATCCCAGATTGTACAATTTTATCCATAACGTACAATTTTCAGACATTTCGCGTTTCGTCAAATTTTACATCAATCATTTCTTTTTTAGAGTTATATACTCCAAGCTCAAGATTTACTGGAGGATGGTAGCAATATAGCTCAGTGGGGAACTGATGATTGCATTGGTGTAAAGGAAATGTCAAAGATACTGAAGACGAGACTGGATCAATTCACTACAGTACTAGAGGAAAAACGTGTCGCTCTGGTCACATGTATGAAGTTTCATGAAATGATCAGAGATGATGATTGGTCTGAGTGCTTGTATCACGTGTTTTCTTGTTGGTATAAATAATTGGTCTGACTGTTAATATCACTTGGTTTGTCGTTTGTCTAAATAATTTGTTTGACTGTTAATATCACGTGATTTCTTCTTCGAGTATTTAATTGGTCTGATGGCTTATGCAACGTGGTTTCTTGTTCGTGTAAAAAATTTTCTGTTTGTTTATATCACGTGGTTTCTCCTTCGTGTATGTGATTGATCTCACTTATTATATAACGTGTTTTTCTTTTAAAATAGTAGCGAGAGACTTGCCGAGCGGAAATCGAATTCGTGTAATAAAAATTAATGCCCAACATAAAGTTCTGATTAGAGCTTTTTTTTCGTTCTCTTTTGTTCATTCGTCACTACCTACACCGACACACGTTATCTTAGTTTATTGTTAGTTGGTGTAGAGGCTGTTATTTTCTCTTGTTTATTCATCTCAACGTGCGCTCCTTGTGATTTACCAACTTTGTCGGTCAACGTTGCAATAGCTCGTACGATATTGTTTTACATTAGATTAACATTGGAAGGCAACAGGTTTTGAAAGGTGTTATCTGATTGAAATGTTCAAAACATTCAACACACTATTAAGGCGTGAAATTTTACAATTAGAGCTTAAAGCTTATATATTCAAGTGTCTAAAACACGTTTTTTTCTCAGCATGTATTGGAAGTTTTCAAACGCAAGAAATACTTTGCATTTTATCCATTTTTATCTTTTTTTTGAAATGCATATGTTAAAGTGTATGGTATGCAAATATCAAACCAAAAATTAGGTTTGGTTGGGTGCCCAAAAATTCCAATCTGCCCAATAATCTTCAATGGTCCTTTTGCTGCAATGCCGATTGCAGTCAGAGGAACCACGTTAACGAAAGGATATTGTGGCCTTCAGGATCGTATTGCATCTTCAGATGCGGTGGTTCGTGTTCAAGGAATTTTCATGAAGGTGAGAAGATTGTTTGAAAGCAATTAATTCCTAACAAGAATGCAATGAGCTTTTTGAATTTTTTGTCATAGAATATAGAGTTTGTCGTGGTTACAAGTTTATAAACTACCCACAGAGTACTTCAACTGTGAAAACTCTTCTTTTTCTTTTCACTTCATTTGTGACAGATGCATTGAAAAGATGATCTGTCAACAATGAAATAAGTTAAAAAGATCCTAAACTACTAAAACTTCAAGGATCGTGCAGTCTCAAACGTTCAACAACGGACTTTATGGAATTTAACTTGAGTCCATTTAAAACATGTTTTACAGATTTAAGGTTATTTGTTAAGCAATTTCGATTTCTATTGGTGATTGATTTTACATTTTATTTGTTTTTTTTTAAAGTAAAATATTCTATAAATGTGAATAGACAACACTGTTTGGTCTTTCTGTGCCATCATACTCAAGTCCATCTTTAGACATGTTTTATATAGATTCTAGATAGTTTGATATTTTTGAAACGCATTCTCTCATTTATTTTGCAATGATGTCATTATGAATTGTTCCAAACGTTTAAGATGATATCTCTTCATTCAACCTTTTTCAAACACAATTTACCTACTTGTGTTAAAATGTTGCATTAATATGGAACATACTGACATTAATAAATTTCTCGTTTGCTTTCCTTGTCTGATTTGATATTGTTTTAAGTAAGTAATTTACACTATAATTTCCTAAAGTATATGGAATGGAAGAACTCAAATCCAAATTTCTTACAGTACTTTTCCTCTTTCGCCATTTCTACATAGTTTTTATCTGTATTTGTAGTTAAATTCAATTAAAGTGTATTGTTCTGAAAGATCATTGATTTGAGAATATTACCTGTTGCATAAACAAATGAAATTGGGAACGAACATTTAACTTTTGAACAAACTTTGCAACTTACGCGTAATATGTAATACTGGCATAGTCTGTGCCACCAATGGATCAAGGAATATTAATAGGTAGCCTGGCAACAGGCGTGCTATCAAAAAATAAATGGACAATGATTATTTAGAAACTGCGTTTTTTTCACAGGCTCCATTTATTGGGACGACGAAGACTCAAGCAACAATAATAAAAAAAGCGGAATGCTTCCAGACGGAACGTATGGTAGAAATACTAAAATATTCTTCTGTTGTCGTCATGATCCCAGACTTCTAACTGGTCTACCCAAGTGTTCTCAAATGATGCTTATGCGATACAAAGGAATTTGCCCTCAATCTGGCGGTTATTCCAGACCAAAAACTGGATTCTTGCAATGGGACACGGAGAACAACTCTAATCGAGATAAACTCGTCGGTCATTTTCCCGATGGCGAGAAGACATTTAACAGTGGCATAAAGATTGAATTTTGTTCATACACTTCAATTGGTACATGTTAAATTAACATGTTGAAAGAACAGCCTTTAATGAAATTAAATCATAAAGATCATAGAAAAGGATGATTTTTTTGTGGGTTTTCTAAGCATTAGCGAGGTCACCCAATTTTGTAGGATTTAGTCGTAAACAAAATTATGTATATCTTTAATGTGTCAGCTTAAAATGAATAATAAATTGCTCAGTCGTTCACGCATTGTATTAAGATTTTCTTGCCTAAAAGATTGCGATTAATGACAACATTAATGTTGGTGTAATGGTGTTACAACAAAATTTCTTGCACGTAAAATATATATGGTTCTTGGCATGTGCACTTTTGGTCTAAAATAATACATCCTTATTCGCTGTAACATTTCCGTGACCTATGGTATTTATCCCTTACACAGATTACAGGAACTCCAAGAACAAAGTAGAAACTGACTTACTTGACTAAAAAGATAACTATCAATGCTTTCAGATTTAGTGAAGACAATTAACAAGCAAAAGTTATGTTACGCTAGCATCAAATCCTACAAAAGGAAAGTATGGATATAATTTGAATTAGTATGAACGATTTGCGACGTTAACACAACCGTCTTTGTCAATGTTTAGTACAGCTCATAGACTTCTTTACAACCATTCAACCGTAGAAAAGCGTCTTCACCGTGTTTTCATAATACATAGTCACAAACTCAGACATGTGTTAGTCTGTGCAGATCGTGTTAGTCTTGTTGCCATTGCATTAGAATATGTATATTACAATGAGCACCACCAATCCTTCTGGTTATCAGTGACGTGGTGGCAGGGGGGGCAGGGCCCCCCTAGCTGTTGATTTTAGGGGGCGCTGAATTGAATACGAGTCATCAAGTTTTAAATATGGGCTATAAAAAATTAAAAACGCATTTGAAACAGAACAGTTATTTTCACAGTTATATATTCAGTGAATGAAGTTAACTTTAGGGAATTAGGGAAGAAAGAAAGTAGAAGTACCAAAATGAAACCTTGTCAGGGGGTCGATTAAAGCATACGATATTGACGAACATTCTAGACTTAGATGCTTCGTTTGTGGCCACAACGCCTGCATGATTTGTCACGATGACTGTAGACAACATACATGCAGGGGAGAAACAAGAACGTTAATTGGGGGGGGGTGAATATCATATATTCAGCTTTGCCCTGTTGATTTCTATTGAATTTAACATCGCCAACAAAAGAAATCAGCAGCAGGGGCCGAGCTGAATCTATGAATATTTACACCACCCCCCAATTAGCATTCTAGTTTCGCCTATACATACACGGCCAAACTATCCTCTTAAGGGGCGCAACAAGACCTAAAATGTGTAATTTTTTGCCTATCTTAATCAATGTTTTTTGCTTGCCTCACAGACAGTTATCGTTACTGGCATTGTATCTTATTATTAATCCGAGCGTAATAATATATATTTTTAAAAATGAAGTAGTGCAGTCATCGGTGCAGTAGTGAAGTAGTGCAGTCATTGCTATCATAATGGATAGTCTAACATGAAGTAGCTTTTAATGATACCGCAGCATGTACCGCATTGCTCGTATTGTGTTATTTACATTTTCATCGTTACGACGATTCATTTGTCATTTTCAGTAGTAAAGCAAGTTATTATACGGTAAAACTTTTTAAATCACTTAAAGCTTCTTCGTAAATGTTCAAGATTCATTTACCCGCAGTTATCGAATGTGCATAACAGCATATATTTAATTGAAATTAAGATATTTTTTAAACAACAACATTTGAAGACCAATTAAATTCATGTCTCAAAATGCAAAACTCTCATTTTGAGCTTCCGTTGCTGGCAATACAGATGTAATTCACAAAATAAAACATTTCATTTGATAATTCCATTTGTGTTGGAAAATCTATTTTAATATTATTTAATGTACATCATGGATCATGGTGCAATGTTAAATACAAACTGCAATGTCTAATTCTTTCAACACCACGAAGAGAAAAAAAGTCGGGTGCTGAGTATCGGAGATTAAAGAAAGCTAGACAAGAAGAATTTTCAAAACTTGGGGTAGTTTTGCTTGATTACTTTAAACCTATGCAAAATTACCCACCATGCATTTTATTACAAACAACAGAGGCGTTATAATTAAAACTCAGGGAAACGCCGAGCATAAGTGAAGACCTTAAACAAGTGCATGCGCAAGAAAAATCTGAGTTGATAGATGTAAAAGATCAAGATGAGCATACTTTCAAATCAATCAAAAGCTATGATTCTTTTGGTAAATGCCCTGAATTTGACAGCTTTGTTAATTCAAATGAACGTAACGAAGGCGAAGGCATCTCAGAATCTGCTGAAAATGAATTGAATCGAAATATTTCTATTGATACGAAAGAAAACACGTTTGACCGTGGGACAGTTGTTGGTTGTGTTGCTATTGATGTCATTACTCTTTTTTACTCTCTCGAAAAACGGGACGTTCTCTTTAATAATTCTCATAAAGTACACGAATTGTTTCAATTGGTTCAAAAGAATGAAAACCTCAAAATTTTTCTATTAAACGTCTTAATACTGTTCGATGGAATGCAAGAGAATTTTCTCTAAACGTATTTCTTTTGAGGTTCGAGTGCATCATGCGAGTGCTCCAAAAAGTGGCTGAGGATAGATCGTTTACTGAAAGACAGCCAGCAACAGTAAATGGATTGCAAGCAGCTTTTCAGACAAAGCAATTTGTTGCGACTGCCTGTCTTTTCCAAGAAATTTTTGGAATTACTGGACCTTTAAGTCGATATCTACTGAGCGTAAATGCTGACTTTGGAAAAGCAATGGATATGGTTGATAGCTCAATTTCTAGAATTCAAATCATACGTAACAAACCAGAAAAAATCATTGAAATGTCCGATTCTTTTGCGTTAGATGTCGAATGGAGGTCTACACGACCTCGTCATCGATGACCAATGGACGGAGAACAAGCCAGAGATGATTTGGCAGATTCACCAAAAGCACAATGGAGGCGAGACACATTTTATAAAGTGCTAGATTCCATTCAATCTTCAATGAAGAATCGTGTTGAAAAGAATCCACCACTAATGAAATCATTTGCTTTATTCGCACCTAATCAATTTGACGAGCTCTCGAGCAAGTACAAGACACCTCACGATCTTCAATCTGCAGTGAAAGCCTTTTGTGATGTGTATAAGACATATTCCCAAAGATGCGCTACTGAACTGTTAAGGCTAAAACTCCGTCATTCTTAGATGCCTTGAAGCTGCTTTGTTTTCCAAAGTATCATTTAGTCGACGCATACCCAACATTATGCAAAGTTTATTCAATTGCAGTGGCCATACCCATTACCTCAGCAACTGCTGAACGTTCTTTTACTTCGCTGAAGAGAGTAAAAACGAGGATTCGATCTACGATGGTACAGGAACGCCTGGAATCATTGCTTTAATGGAAGTTAAAAGGGAAACTCTCCTATCTATCGATAAAGATGGAATCATAACTTTACTTGGGGAAACCTCCACAACGCTTGCAAAGGCATTAATATAAATATATTTTTCTATAAAAAACAAATAGCGTTACAGACGTATAATTGCTTGATGATACTTAGTTTTTAAGTTACTTTGTTTTTTATGAAGATTCATGTTTGTGTTTTATAAAATAAAAATAATTAAAATACTTGAAAATAGCTGTAAGAAAAGGTGAAAGGGGCGCAAAATTTGTGTTGGCCCCCGCAGTAAAAACTATGCCACCACGCCACTGCTGGTTATCAGTTAAACTATTCATTTTATGTAATGTCTTGATTGTAGTATATTTGCTTGTTGCATTCATTGTACTTTATGTAACAAAGTATAAATGAGATGAACCAACAATTAAAAGTAGGTATTTAACCTTTATCAACGAGCTATAATTAATGTGTTTTATAAACTGCTCAACATAATGTCAATCTCATTTGTGTAATAAAAATTAATGCCCAACATAAAGCTTTAATTAGAGCCATAGAAATAGAACAAAAGTTGTAAAATTGAATTTATTGTGACGTTTCCTCTTTAATCAAAACATCTTCAGACAATTAATAGGATGTTAAGACAAAATATTATATTTACAAAAAGATCTGTTTCAACTATTTTGAATTATGCTAATTAATCAATTTATACGTTCTAAGAACTTTAATAAACTGATTTATATTCAAGTTAACAAAACAACTACAACCTAACGAGTAATTTCTATGTTAACAAATACGCGAGCGGTACTGTATATGACTCTGAACCGGATGTGACGTAGAAAGGAGAACAGGTACATTGAAGATATAGCTTTTATTGTATTGAATAAAGTGTTATAACAAATCTCAAAAAACTACCCTACAAATTTTGGAGAAGCTTTGGGGAAGCTTGTGATTATTGATTGTGAATGCTGTTTGATCATCCATGAAAATCCCCTTTATCCATAGGTCTCTTATGCATCCACAAACGGTACCAGCGAGGGATTAAAATTAACATAAGAACAACGCTGTTTGTAAGAAATTTCTAAAGAATATTTAACTCCTACTCCAACTGACATAACTCTGGCTTTTGCTAAAAAAAACTTCGGCTTCTCCAAAAAGTTTACATGACTTTCTGAATATTCAAGAAATTCGAAAGTAGAGAATATTGTCCTTCTAGTGGTACTGATATTGACTGGTTTTCTAAATATTATTACAACCAAATTTGCAACTTTTGCTTTAAAGTGCCTGTAACACGAAATTTTGCTAGTTATGTTTGCAATAAATAGAACTTTTGAAATGACATTGTACTTTCTAAAACAGTTAATGCACATCTCTTTCCCTTCGCAAGATATTGAAGTTTTTTGTTTTTTCCATTTTATCTAACATGTGACGTCATATTGCATAATGAGTTTCCACGATGTTTTAAATACTCTTCAGTTTCCTGACAACTTCATATCTTATACCATTAACCACGTCACAACAAAGGGAACTCTGTCCTTGTGAAGTAAAGTATCGTTAAATATACCTAATACTCCTGGTTCTCATTATGCAATTTGACGACACAAGTTAGATAAATCAGACAAAGCAAAAACCTCAATATCTCAAGAAACAAAAGTGATGTGCATAAACTGTTTTAGAATGTCCACTGTCACTTCAAAATATCTCTTCAATAAAAGTACAACCCAGATTGCAAATTTTAGTGTCATGGGCACTTTAAGCAAAGAAAATGCTTTAGTTTATGTAAGACTTGT